GTTTGCACTCTTCCTGTATGATACCCTTGATATCCTCCCACAACTCATCTGGTCTTTGCTCATTAGTGTTCAAGACCTCAAACCTATTCCTGAGATGGTTCTGAAATTCAGGTGGGATAGGCTCAAAGTCATGTTTTGGTTCCCATGGATTTGGCTTAATTTTCCTCAGCTTCAGCTTCAACTTGCATAATTTGTTATCTCAAGGAAGTCTAACTTTTGTCTTATAGACATGGATTAGGAGGCATAATACAAATAATCAACACTTACTTAATTTTTGTACAAACTCTACACAGCCATGGAGGTGTCCAATAGGCACCTTGAAGTTGACCTCTTTAATTACACCTTTTCAAACTAAGGTTGTATCCTTTTCCCATACTTATTCAATTTACGTTTAGAGCAAAATAATTTAGAAGTTGGACTAAATGAAGAAGAATATAGCATCAGGATTGGAAGAAGATTCCTAACTATCTGTGTTATGCAGATAACACAATTTTGCATGGGTATAGTGAAGAAGAATTAAAGAAACAGTAACTAAAAAAAATAAACCAAAGACTATAGTCTTCAGTATGGATTATGTTTTTGTTTATGTGCCATTGAGTTGCCTGTGGCTCATAGCGACCCTATGTACAACAGCCCTAAACCCTGCTCTGTCCTATGCCAGTCTCACTGTCTCCAACACACCCACCCCCATTACTCTAGTCACTCAATCAATCCACTTCATAGAGGATATTCCTCTCCTGTGCTGTCCCTCCACCCTCTCAAGTATGACGTCCCTCCGCAAGGACTGGTCCCTCCTTGCCACATGTCCAAAGTATGTCAGATGAAGCTTCAAAATCTTTGTCTCCAAGGAGCAGCCTGGTTTAACCTCTCTAGGATGAACCTATTTGTTTTCTTCACAGTCCATGGTATATTCAATATTCTTTTCTAGCACCACAGCTCAAAGGCATCAATTCTACTTCTGTCATCCCTAGTCATTGTCCAGCTCTCTGATACATAGCATGTAATGGCAAAGACCATGGCCTCTATCAGGTGCATGTTAGTCTCCAGAAAGACACCATTGCTCTTCAGTACTTTGGAGAGGTCCCTAACAGCAGAATTTCCCGTTGCAATATGTCTTTTAATTTCCTGGCTGCTGGTGCCAAGAGAGTTGACTGTGGAGCCAAGCAAACTAAAGCTACTGTGAACATTTTCTATTTCTTCACCATTCATCCCGATGCTGCCAGTTGGTCCAGTGGTGAGAATCTTTGTCTTCTTGACATTGAGCCTCAATCCATATTGAAGGCTGCAGTCCTTGACCTTCTGCAGCAAGCACATCAGGTCCTCTTCAGTTTCAGCAAGCAAGGTTGTGTTATCTGTATAATGCAGATTGTTTATGAATCTTCCACCAATCTTGATGTCACACTTGTCCTCATAGATCCCAGCCTCTCGGATAATCTGTTCTGTATACAGGTTGAAAAGCTGTCTAGATAGGACACATCCCTGGTGTATGCCCTTCCCAATTTTGAACCATGCAGTGTTTCCTTGCTCTGTTCTGATGACTGCCTCTTGATCCAAGTATAGGTTTCACATTAGCATAATCAAGTGTTCTGAGATTCCCTTTCTTCTCAGAGTCAGCCACAGTTTGTTGTGATTCCACACAGTCAAACGCCTTTGCGTAGTCAATGAAACACAGATAGACATTCCCCTGGCACTCCCTGCTTTCAGCTAAGATCCATCTAACATTAGCTATAATATCCCTAGTACCACGACCCCTTCTAAGCCCAGCCTGGACTTCTGGCAGTTCTCTGCTGATGTGCTGTTCCAGTCATTTTTGGATACTCTTCATCAGAATCTTGCTTGCATGTTATATCAATAATATTGTTCAATAATTTCCACACTCTGTTGGGTCACCTTTCTTTGGAATGGGAACCTGGACAAAAAGAAACAAAAATTCTCACAAATGGACCAATAGGCAGCACTTGAAAGATAAAGTCTAAAGTTGTCAACTATTTCATATTGACTCCACAATCAATATCCATGGTAGTAACAGTCAAGGAAGCAAAAAAAAAAAAAAATGTACTGTCAAATCTCCTGTCAAAAATACCTTTAAATTACAAAAGTGTTAGGATGTCAAGTTAAATATTAATGTGTGCCTGACCCAAACCATGGTATTTTTGCATAGGCATGTGAAAGTTAGATGATGAATATGGAAAAGCAAAGAGAAACTGAGGTCTTCAAATTGTGATGTTGGTGAAGAACATGGATTATCTTATAAACTGCTGAAGAAAAACAGTCTATCTTGGAACAAATGCACCCAAAGTATTCCTCAGAGGCAAGAAGGATGAAACTTCATCTCACATACCTTAGACATGTTGTTAGGAGGAATCAATCCTTGAAAAAAGATACTATGCTGGGACAAGTGGTGTGCCAGCAAAAAAAAAAAAAAAGAAGATCATCAAAGGGTTGGATGGATATGATGTCTACAACAATCATCTTGAGCCTGGTGGAGATCATGGGGATGGTGCAGGATAGAGCATAGTTTCCATCTGTTCCTAAGGTTGCTGTGAGTTGTAGCTGACTCGATTGCAGCTAACAGCAATAACCCACAATTACTCAGGTCCCAGAGAGGAATCTCCCCAGTAATCTTTCCCTTGACTTCTCAAATCCAGTTTATCAATGATTCTTATTTTCATAATCTCCAGCATATCTTCCAAGTCTAACTATATCTGTTATTGATCATATTATCTTCTTCTCTCCTATGATTTCTGTGACAGTCTCTTAAATTTTCTCTGCTTCATTTTTTGCCTCCAAACAATTTTTTCACCATAGAGAGGCCACAATGATATTTTAAAACTGAAAATAAATCTAATGTTACTTTTATGTTTAAATCCCATTAGTGACTTTTTAGCATAAACATGATAAATTTAATGTAATATAGCTATTTTTCATTAGCTTCTCTTATGAATTGGTTAAGTCCCCCAAAATATGTGTCAACTTGGATAGGTCATGAGTACCAATAAAATGTAATTATTCTCTATTTTCTGATCTGATGTTATTAGCCTATGTGTTATAAATCCTATCAGTGACAAAAGTGCAAGGTTGCCACTTGGAAGTATAATCTATATCTGATCCTAATATGAAAGTGAAAGTTGGACAACTTTCTGAAGAAGAATTGATGCCTTTGATTTGTGATGATGGTAAAGAATATTGAATGTACAATAGGCTGCACAAAGAACAAACATATTCTTGGACGAATGCAGTTAGAATGCTTTAGACATATTAGTAGGAGGAAGCAATTTCTGGAGGAAAACATAATGCTCGGTAAAGTACATGGTTAGACCCAATGAGAGGACTTGACAAAGTGGTTCCAACAATAGGCTCAAGCACAATAATTATCATGAGAATGACCCAGGATCAGTCGATGTTTTGTTCTTTTGCAGAAAAGGGCACCTAAGTGGGAGCCTTAACAGTGACTAATAACCTGATATTAATGAAACAGTATTAGTGGCTGCTATGATGTAAGTGAAGCAGGATGCAATCTACAGGATTAGGTTGTATCTTGAGTCAATCTCTTTGGAGGTCGAGTCAGAATCTACTCACAGCTAACCCTCTAGCAGGTTTTCAGAGGCCATAAAATCTCATGGGAGGAGATTTTCTATCTTTTTCCTGAATCTATCTGCTGGTGGATTCAAAGTGCCAGAGAGGTGCCATCTTTGAGTTAATAGGACAATTCTAGGACTCTCTTTATGGACACCAGAGCTCCCTTTGGAGGTATAAAAGAGATTAAATAATGGAGTGGAGATTTGCCACCAAGAAAGAAGAGCCAGGAAACAGTACATCCTTTGGATGCAGAGTCTTTATAGGGTAAACCTCTTAGAGCTAGGAAAAGATTGATTTCAAGACACACAGAAGTAAAAGAATCTCAGCCCTACAGATACTGAAAAGAGATAAGAACCCTCCTCTTAAACTGTGATCCAACAAGAAGAGAAAGACTTCTCTATGAGTTGGTTTCAACTTGATGACAACAGTTTTTTGAATTGTTTTGGTTGGGGTTGTAACAAGTGCTGTTCAGTTGATTCTGATGCATAATGACCCTATGTGCAACAGACAGAAACATTTCTTAGTCTTGTGCTGTCTCACAATATTTGTTTGAGTTTATTGTTGCAGCCACTATGCTATTCTATCTTTTTCTAGCACTCTGGACATAGCAAACAATTGATAAGACTATAGCCTGATTCAGGTGCATCTTAGTCTCCAGACTGACATTGTTGCTCTTCAGTACTGTGGAGAGGTCCCTGACAGCAGATTTTCCCAATGCCATTCATATTTTTGATTTCCTGGCTGCTGGTACCAAAAGTGTTGATTATGGAACCAAGCAAACTAAAGCTGTTAACAATCTCAATCTCTTCACCATCTATCATAATGCTACCAATCAGCCCAATGTTGAAAATCTTTGTTTTATTAGATCTCAAATTATTCCGGTTGCATTTTTAATTTTGGATGAATAGAATGGTGGAAAAATAGTAGAGTAGAGGAAAAAAAGCAGTGGAGAAAACCCAAATCTCTAGACATTGGGTAGATTCTAGCTCACAGTGATCTAGAACTGCCCCATAGTGCTTCTAAGACTGTAACTTTTAAAGAAATAGATTGTTACATCTCTCCCATGTAGATTGGCTGGTGTTAGAACCACTGATCTTTCAGTTAGCAGCTGAGTGCTTAACCACTGCCCTACAAAGACTTCTTCAGTGGAGAAAAGGACAAGTTCGATATTCCAAAATGGGTTGAAGTTATGAGAATATGTTCTGGGAAGATATCTTAACCAGTTTTGATTTTTTTCTTATTTAAGACACTGAAGATGTCTTTTGGAGGCTGAAATTTAGAATACTATATTTATTAGAAATGCACTATAATAATTTATTGACATTACCTTTATTCTGTTTAGATAACATGAAATACCCTATTTCGATAATTCCTACACCATGTGTATCACTGAAAGGAAGCAAAGGACAGTTGCACCTTTCCTACATTCCAAGTAAGTCCAGTTTTCACTTTTATAGATCAACTATCACTGTGGTCTAACTATATTTGCGTTACCTACTGCTTAGACATTACAAGAATCTTAGTGGCTCAAAACAGTACAATTTAGGGAGCTCTGGTGGCCTAGTGGCAAGAAGCTGCACTGCAATCTCAGAGGTATGCAGTTCGAATCCACCTGATGCTGTGCTGGAGAAGGAGGAACAATCTCCTCCTGTACCAATCAGATCCAATTTTATGGTACACACACAGAGAAAATAAGGCAAAGATGCCACTTTAAGGACTAAAATGTGCCTAACAAAATCAGGGTGTTTTCAATTGCTTCATATACATATGGAAGATGAACAATGAATTAGAAAGACCAAAAAAGAATCAATGCATTTAGATTAGGATGTTGGTGAAGAATATCACGTTTCCCATGGACTGCCAGGAAAAGAACATGTTTGTCTTCAAAGTTCAGCCAGAATGCTCCTCAGAAGTGAGACTGGACTGTACGTTAGACATATTATCAGTCCTGGGATGATATAATCCGTGGTGAACCAGAGATCACTTTAAAAGACCTTCCACTGGGAGGAGGGTAGAGAGAATAGTGCAACAATGAATGAATGGAAACCCAAAATCTCTGTAAATGTTTATGAAAATTAATAAAATATAGAAAGAAAAAAAAATAAAAGACCTTCCACAAGACAAATTCACATAGTAACTACCACAATGGGCTCCAATGACACAACAATTTGGGGGGATGGCAAAAGACTGGGCAATATTTACTCTTTTATGAGGGCGGCTGTAATTTGGACCTGGCTTGAACACAAGCAACAATAAATTGTCATTATGATTAAATGAAATAATGAAGGAAAAGAGGAAGAGTTGGAAAATTATAATAAAAACCAAAATCCAAGCCCAGTAAATTTCTTCATTTATGAAGAAACAACTTGACTATTGAATAAGCATCAAAGCAAAATCTGATGCCTCCTGGGAAATATGCTAAAACCAGAATGAAATCTTACCCTTTAGAGAGTCATTAGCTATAATCCATTTCATATATGTTCTCAAGGTAAACTAGTCAACTCAGACTCATAGTAGTCCTAAGTACTACAGAATAGAAATGTGCTCTATGAGATTTTTTTTCACGACTTTGACCTTTTGGAAGCAGATCTCTAGGCATTTATTTTTTAGATACCTCTAGGAGCTTTTGAACCCACTAACTTTACAGTTAGTTGTGAGCACTTAGCCTTTTGTGCTATTCAGAGACTCCCCAGCTCATATCTAGTCCTCAAATGAAGTGATGGACTGCAGTATTCAATATGCATTGTTTATCCTAACTTCATCTGTCTATTGGGATAGCCATTAGAGTTTGCTAATTACCTTTACTATTAAAAGCCCCAAAACTTTTCATGTATTTATGACAGGAGTTAGTTTCTATAGCTTGGAGCTTCACAAAGTCAGTCTCTGACCTTCCCAAAGAAATAGAGAGGTAGGAAAGCTGTTTATCTTAAAGATTACATTTTGAAGAGTACATTTTAAAGCTCTCAGGTTGTCAGGACATACTTCTGGACTTTCAGACTGACAAAAAGCTTAGTTTTGCTCTGCAGGAGAAGGAGGGACAATCTCCTCCTGTATCAGTCAGATCTGATTTGACAGTACACACACACACACACAAATTTTTTTAAAAAAAGCTTATTTTGTCTTTCCATTGTTGTTGTTAGGTGCCAGTGAGTTGACCATGACTTACGGTGACCATGTAAACAATGTATCCTAGCCTAGCCCTATCCTGTGCCATCACCATCCTTCTCTGCCACACTTGAGCCCTTTCTTACAGCCACTATGCCAATCCATGCCCTCCTTTGCGGACCCTCTACTTTTATGAGCATGATGTTCTTTTCCAAAGATTGTTGTTACTGTGTTCTGTTGAGTTAGAGCAAACACATAGCTGACCCTCCAGTGGGTTTCCAGAGGTAGTTAATCACCCGGGAGGAGACTGCCCATCCTTTGCCCACGGAGCAGATGGTGGATTCAAACTGCACGCCTTCTGGATTACAGCACGGATTCTTGCCACCAGGCCACCAGAGCTCCCATTTCTAAGAATTTACTCCTTCTAACAACGTGCCCAAAGTAAGTGAGACGAAGTTTTATCATCCTTCCTTCTAAGGAACATCCTGGCTGCATTCTATCCAATGCATATTTGTTCATTCTCTTGGCAGTCCATGGGATAGTCAGTACTCTTTTTCAGCAGCTCAACTCAAAGGGATCAATTCTTCTGTCATCTTTATTAACTGTCTAACTCACAGAGGCATAGCAAGTAGTTTAGACCATAGGATTCCTCAAAAGAAGAAAATTCGAGAGATAGATTAGTTGAAAGAGAGGTAACATACGAAGAGGTAGTGATCAGCACTATATCATTAAGGAAAAAGAAGACAGAGGCCTCTGCATAAGTTATAGACAATAAAGGCAAATCAATTACAAGAATACCTAATAACAGACATTGATCAGCCAGTGAATACCTAGACAGACAAGATCAGTAAATATACATAGACAAATGAACTCTATCTACAGCCATATAAAATTTGCAGACAGTATTTCTACACACATATTTACACATGTTGTAAAGAGATTCATACTTAATCAGTGGGCAGAATTATGCAAGCTTCTTAGCCATTGCCTTTAGGGAATAAATTACTGGGGCTGGAAGCACAGAGTTTCCAGAGGCATGTGGTTTAAAAAGTAGATGCCACTCCTGCTTCCTAACCTGTTTTACAACTGGGAGCACCACCAAACACTGTCCACAATGGGAAACCATTCTGGTATTTGCTACCCCAATAGCACAAGGTTCAGCATCACAGCAAACCCAGGTTAATTCATACAGCACATTGACAAAGAGAGATGTGCAAAGTTGAAGATTGTTCCTCCAGATAGAACAACACTAGTTTCATTTAGCAGTGGCTAAGTGTCCTGGAGTCGAATACTACTCAGAGTAAAAACTTTGCACAAAAGACCTAAACTCTGTTCTATAACTAACATAATTTCTGTACATTTGTAGAGTTTACAGAGTTTGTAGAGTTTCCAGAGGCATCTAGTTTAGGAAGTTGATGTCACTCCTGCTCCCCAGCTTGAATCAGTCTGGAAGCTCATTCAAACATTGTACATAATGGGTAAACTTTATGGTATTTGACACTACTATGTCTTAGGTCTTCACACTGGATGTAAGGCCAAGGGACCAGAGAAAGAGCTTCCAGATGGGATTCTGTGGTCTAGAGAGAGAGAGACAGACCAGAGGAAAACCATGCCTTAAAGTTGATTAGGGTTGGGTTTTTATACTAAGGGTCTTTAGGGAGGGAAGGGACAGACATTTCATTGTGGTTTAGCCAGGCAGATTGTCTTCTAGGGAGGGAAGGGAGGGACACTCCATGGTAGTTGAGGCTGTCTACTCCTTTTGTTGACATGTTGAATCCTTTGTTCTCCCTTTGACCTTGGTTGGTGCCTGACATCCTAGCCTCTTTAGTGAGAAAAAAAAGGGCAACATATTCTTTCTAGCTACTTCCTGCTGAATAGGGGCGAAGATCTGGGGCTCAGAGGCTATATTGGGATGGCCCCAGACCAGTAGCCAGGGGAGAATATGGATGTCACAACAGCTGGTTCAAGTTGGTCATTTCTTTTATCCTGTGAAGAATTAAAAAAGGCAGGGAGCAATTAATGACAATATGAAGAGCTACTTAGAGCTTGGGATCTGAGTGAGGTGAAGAGTAGTGGGGCCCACTATTTGAGAGGTGTAGGAGGTCTGCTCAGTGAAAGGAGCATGATTGACCTGAGAAAGGTGATGCTAATGGGGGTTACTTATGACCTTAACCGCTGTGGAGGTAGTTAGGGTGACTGTGTAGTTTATCTTAGCGTGGTTGAAGAGGTTTGGGGGCACACCATTTGATGATGATGGTGTTTAATGAGGACAGCATTTTTGGGGTGATTCTAGTAATCTGCTCTAGACTTTCAGGTGAGGGTCTGGGTATGCAGTGGTCTGCATGTTCCTGGAGAAATTGCCTAATGAGGGAGAGATTAGAAAAATATGATACTAAAAGAGGGGGTTCAGTGGGTATATTATGGTTCAGCAGAAACAGTCGGCTGTACATCAGCTCAAGGGGGCTCAGAAAGGCTGGTGGGTGGGGTGTTGCTCAAATATGGGCTAAGGCAATAGGAAGCAAGTTGACCCAGGACTTGCATAACTCAATAGCCAGTTTGGTGAGGTGGAACTTAATGAGTCCATTCATGCACTCCACTTTGCCTGAGGATTGGGGGTGATATGGTATGTGCAGTTTCCAGCAGATGCCTAAGCTGGAGGATACTTGTTGGGTGACCCTGGAGACAAAGCCAGGACCATTGTCCAACTGGATAGAAATAGGGAGGCCAAACCTGGGGATGATATATTAGAGTAAGGCCTCTGAAACCTTGTCTGCTGTTTCTCGCCAGGTGGGGAAAGCTTCAACCCACCCGGAGAAGGTGTCTACCATAGTTAGAAGATACTTACATTTTTTTGTGAGTAGGCGTGTGGGTAAAATCAATTTGCCAATCTTGCACAGGTCTATAGCCTCAGAGTTGGTGCATAGAGGGTATTGGCCGAATGTTTCCCTGAGTATTTACTAGTTTACAAGACATCTGTCTCACACTGATTCAATGGTCCAGGTCAGAGAAGTGGAGTAGAACAGATGCTGAAGGAATCTTAAGAGAGCTTTGGTTCCTATATGTAGGGACTTATGTACTTGTGCTATAATGTCTGCCTCCTGTTCTTTGGGCAAAACTACTTTACCATGATCCATCCACTGTGTTAGGCAGCTCCCTATCCAGAGGAGAGACTGTTCCTCCTCGTGGTGTATTTTGGATGGAAGTCGAGAATAGTAAAAAACAGGATGGGGGCAGTCTGTTGTGGGTGTGGTCAGAAAAAGGAGAGAGATGATGTTTTATCTTCAGGTTAGGGTTGGAAAAGGAAGGTGACAATTTCAGAAGATTTAAGACTGGGAGGTTAGTTAAAAATTTTGGCTGCAGTTTCAGGCTGTGTCTGAGAAAGGCCAGTATATTGCCTATGTAACATTTTGTAGTGTAAAACCAGTTTTTTCCCCCATCTTCATGTGTGTTCACTACCCCAAAATGCTACATTTTAATTACTGCAATATTCTTAATTGGCCCCAAAACAGTATGGTTTGGTTTTACTTGGTAAAGTTAATATGATTTAAAAATATAGATACACATATACTTATTACATTTAAATCATGGAAGAACAATATTTTTCAAAGATAGGCCAATTGGAAAAGGCATCAAAATAAAAAAATAAAACCAAATACTAAAATCTACCTTACAGTGGGCTAAAAGAACCTACACAGGTTGGCAGTCTTTATAGAGAGAAAGACGGGAACCAAAGTAAAGTTTGGACATCTGGCCATCTCTGAGTCTGTTGGCAGAAAGTGTCAAGATCTTGAAGGGTTTTGAAATGAAAAGTTCCTTTTTCAGGCTTAAAGTCTGGAGCTGAACTCATCTCTGTGATTCAGGCAATAGACAGACCAATAAGATGTCCTTGGAGAAGGACATCAGACTTGGAAAGCTGGATGGTTAACATAAGAGAGGAAGACCCACAATAAGATGGATTGACATGGTGGTAGAAAAAGGGCTCAAGTGGGTTGGAGATGGTGAGGATGACACAGGATAGGCTGAGGCTCAGATCTACCCTTAGAAGGTAGGAAGGGACAGGAAGGAAGGAGGCCTAGAAAGGGAGCACACAGGGAGAAAGTGGAAAGAGTGGGAATTACAACCAATGTCCTGGAACAATTGTTGAATTGTTTCTGAATTGTTGCATGGAAGGCCATTTTATACTGCAAGATTGTATTAAAATCACAATAAAAAGTTTGAAAAAAGGAAACAGAATTTTACAGTTATGAGATTTTGCAAATTAATGCTCTAAGGAAAAGGGAAGGGTAGAAGCTCTTTCCTTTCTTTGCATCAGGTAAGATTTATTTTTCCCCAATTATATTTCTAACATATGGGACATTTTAGGTGTATAATTCAAGTTAGTGTTGTATGTAGAAGAATATATTATTTTAGATACTAATGGATTTTTTTTCTCTTGAAGGGAGAGACATGAAAAAATTGTACTTCAATCTCTATGTATCTATCAACTCCTTGGACTTTCCAAAGCGCAAAGAAGTTATTTGTCGGGGATCCGATGATGATTATTCTTTTTGCAGAGCACTCAAAGGAGGTAATCAGTTCAATAGTATTCTCCCATCATAACATTTCCTCATGAGAATGTTATGAAAAATGCAACAAATGTGAAGTTCTTTTTCTGGTAATAATTATGAATTTTAAAAAGTTGGTAGAACTTCCAGTAATTTAAATGGCATTTTATAATTATGTGATTAAACTATTAGTCAGATGACACTTGTTTGAGTGTGTTTTAAGGAATAATTAAAATTTTTACATTGTTCAGGTTAGTACTTTATCTCACACTTATCTTTTCTTATTAGTCTCTTTTTCAATTTTTTGCTGAAACTTACCAAATATTTCAATGCAGTTATCTTGGTTCCTTTCAATGTCTTCTCTTTCCCACCTCCCTCTACATAGAAATTATTCACAGAGTCATCAAATTTATGAGTTTAGAATTCAGACCCATGAATATTTCTCTTAAAGAATTTCTCTCCATTTTAAAAAAGATTATTTTTGTGTGTGTAGCTGGACTATATACAGCAAAAAGACCAATTCAAGTTTCCTCATGGACAATTCAATGACATTGACTACATTCTCCCAGAGTCATTCTCAATGTTCTTTTTTGAGTTGCTCCCCTCACCTTATCATTAACTTACTGACTCCTAACAACCTTATTTTATCTTTGCAGTTACTTTTGTCAAATTGAACTCACATTGTTGTTGTTAGGTGCTGTTGGTGTGTTTGATTTGGACTCATAGTGCCCTATGTAGAGCAGAATGAGACACTGTCTTATTTTCACCTCCTTATGCTCTCTAAGTGCCTAAGCTTGTTGTTGCAGCCATTGTGGGGAGGGTAATCATAAATCGGAATTGACTTAATGACAGCTAGCTTGGGCGTGGCAAGTTCTCACATGGAAGGAGGTGGGGCTGAGGCAGGCAATTGAGGTAAGAAGGAGAAAGAATCAAGAGGTCATATGAACAACCAGAAAAGCTGCACCAAGATGGTGGCTCTGGAAGTACGAAAAGGAAGAAGAGAATGAGAGAATTGGTGGACATGCTGATTAACTGAGTTTGGTGGGAAAATTTGGGTAAAAATCGAGAACCACCAGAGGGCTGGTAAGTATGTAAGTATGGGAATAATATTCTCTGAGTTTCAGGATACAAAATAAAGGACAAATTTTTAGAGAGAAATATATTGAGTTTTGCTCTAGATATATTGAATTGGGTAACAATTTTCAGAGTTTGGGCAGCTCATGATATGGACTGAAGGCTTAGGATAAAATGTTCAGTTGACATTCTGATTTAAGAATCACTGAGGTAGAGTAACTGGCAAGATGGTGAACAAGGTACACTGCTAACCAGACCCATTACAACAAAGACACAAAACCCCAGATGAATCAGATGAGAATCCTGAAACCTTAAGCATTATACAAGAAAAGAAAAAGAAGTGGATTTAACTAGAAGAAGAGATGGAATGAAAACATCAAACAAGGAGAAATGGAAGTGTGGCCATTTTGGCTTTGCAAGCAGTGTTTCCATGGGGGCAGCAACCTAATAATAGGCCCTAGTCATTCAGCAGCCCACTGGTGCAATGTTTTCCTCACTCCCTCCACTGTCTTGGTGACTGACAGGGTGGTGTGGTCATCTCTCACCCCAGTCCATTTGGTAGCTGATAGACCACTTTCCGCTCCCTGTCCCCCCAACCCCCCAAATCCTCCCATCTCTGCATGTGATCCTTGTACTGCTTGTGGTACATGCTCCAGGAATCAGGTGCCAGGTGCACACTATCCCCTACATTTGGAAGCATATGGTCTCTGCCTCCCTGGCCAGTGGAGCCCAGAGTGCCTGAAGGGATCCTCTGCCTTCAGCTGCCTTCTGGGCTGTCAGGAATTCCTTCCAGAGGTGAGGATCAGGTGTCCTGTTCCTAGCCACCTTCTCTGCTGTGAGAAACTCTTTCCAGCACCAGGTATCCTGCCTCCTGCCCCCTTCTTGACCAACAAGACCACTACCTAGAGGTTATTTCCCCTCAGCTTTTCCCTCCCTCTTTGTTTAGTTTTCCTTCCCTTGTTTTTTTTTTTTTTTGTTTCCCTCCTTCCATGTCTCCTTCCTTTTTATTTCTCTTCTTCTCACTTATTTTTTTAACTTACTATTCTCTTTTTTGAGAGCTCTGGTTACTTAGTGGTAAGGAGTTATGCTGCCAGTCCAAAGATATGAAGAATTTATCTTCTACTCCTGGGGTGAAAGATAGGCAATCTCCTCCCACATGATTTATTTTCTTTGAGAACTTATGAAAAGGTTAACTTTGAGTTGTTTCCAACTTGATAGTACATAAAAACAATTCTTTTTCATTTCTTTATCCTTCCTTTTTAGATTTTGTTTTTTCTTGTATAACTTTCCTTTGAATATGTTTTCATTTCTAAAAGATACTAAAATTTCTTTTATTTTTTCTTTTAAAAACTTTTATGATTTTCTTTTTTTTACTGTTTTTCTCTCTTTATCTCTCCTTTTTTCTTGTTTCACTTTCCCACACATACATAGACCAATGGGCAGCTGATTTTTCTTAAGAGCTAAAACTAATAAAATGAAAAGAGATTGTTTCTTCAAAACCTGGTGCTGGCAAAACAGCATAGCTATTCCCAGAAAAGTTGAACAAGACTCAAATCTCATACTATACACAAAAAAAAAATGAACTCAAGACAGAAGAAATACCTAAAAATAAAACCTTAAACCATAAAGATTATAAAAAGAAAAAAGATTAAAAAATCAAGGGCCTTAATCTAATGTAACTAAAAGCCCACCAACGCCAGAAGACAAGCTCAATTCATTGACCTTGATTCCTTGGAACTGATTTATAGCTGACCGTTCAAGGGCTTTTCAGAGGCTGTAAATCTCACAGGAGGAGGTTACCTATCTTTCTCCTGTGTAGTAGCTGGTGGGTTTGAACTGCCTGCCTTTGGATTGGCAGCACCACTTTAGTCACTAGGCCATCAGAGCTCCCTAGAAGACAAAACCAGGTTTAAAATAAAAATCATTGCCATTTTAATGGGAATGAGATGATATCACCTTGTGATTTTTATTTGCATCTTAATAATAACTACTGATTTTGAGCATCTCTTCATGAGCTTGTTGGCCATTTTAATATCTTGCTTGGTGAACTACCTGCTTGTGGTTTTGCCCCCTTCTCCTTTTTAAATTGGGTTCTACCTTTTGAACAATGGGCCCCACACTTTTATTTTAAACTAGGGTTTGCAACTGAAATAGTTCTGGAGCAAAGTGTGACCAAAGCAAAACTCCTGCTCCCAGGACTCACACACTGGTGGAGTTCATAACTAAATAATGAAATATGAGAAATTTCAGATTTTGCTGCTTAGACTCTAGGAAACCATCAGGTTTGTCTGTGAGTGAGGGACTAAGAGCCCTAGTGGCACAATGGTGAAGTGCTCAGCTTCTACCCAAAATGTAGGTGGTCCAACTTCACCAGCAGCTCTTTAGGGAAAATAGAGGTATCAGTTTGCTTCCTTGATGTTTACAATCTTGGAAACCCTTTGGAGCAATTTTCTTTTGTCTTAAAGGACCTCTGAGTTGAAATGGACTTGACGGCAATGGGTATCTATGAGAGCTCAAGGTTGTAATGGGCAGGCTGGTACAGGCTGGTAGAGAGTCTTTGAAGGCTTAAGGAAACACATGAGTGAGAATGGCAGTGAGAGTATAAGAGTCATTGTTGTTGTTTTTAAATTGTGTGTGTGTACAAACAAATTGGATCTGACTGGTACAGGAAGAGATTGTCCCTCCTTCTCCAACAGAGCATCTGGTGGATTCGACCCGCTCACTTCTGGGATTGCAGTACAGCTTCTTGCCACTAGGCCACCAGAGCTCTCCAAGATTCATTGTTTACTAACAGTTTTGTTTATGACTGTGTCTGTGAATGGTGAAAGTACAAAAGATGAACTCCATACCATCAAAACAAAAATGCAAGAGAATGTTAAAACCCAAGGGGGAAATAAACCACTTAATAATGACCAATGACTTTTGTGTTTTGCAGAGACTATAAATACAACAATATCATTCTCCTACAAGGGACTAAAATTTTCTAAGGTATTCTTCAATGTTTGTATTTTGTCAACCTTTGGCAATGGTAGATGTGCATAGAATTTGAAACCAGTAATCCACGACTTCTGAAAGTAGAAGTTAAAGATTAAGGTGTTCAAAATGATTTTCTCTTTTTTTGTATAGTGAGTATTTTTATACTCCTTTCTGCAGAATATGAAAGAGTTACACAAAAGAGACTTCCTTTTTTTAATTGCATTTTCCTTTCATACTTTGCTAAAAGTAGTACAAACGCTTGGAATTAGTGTTTTAAATGATCTTTTTTTTTTATTGTATTATTTTTACGTGTACCATCAAATCAGATCTGACTGTTACAGGAGGAGATTGCCTCCTCCTTCTCCAGCAGAGCATCTGGTGGACTTGAACCGTGATAAATGATCTTTTGATAAAAGCACTGAACAATCGCTGTACCTCAGTAACTTTTAAATTCTTTCTCCACACACTCACACATACACACACTTACTCTCATCGCCTTACACATACTTAACTTGTTAACATGGTTGTGTTTCAAAGACAAGGTCATTATTTAAAAAGCCAGCATTATATGAAAATGAAATGTGACCACATCTATCACAAAATGGAGCTCTGGCAGATTATTTGTAAGGGGTAATGCTGCCAATCCAAAGACACATGGTTCGAGTCCACCAGCTGCTCTGTGGGAGAAAGATGGACAATCTCCTCCCATGCAATTCACTGTCTCTAAAATACCCTGCTGGAGAGTCAGCTATGAGTCATTTCAAGCTGATAGTTCATAACAATAACAACATTAAAAAAATGGAAAAAGACTAAATAAATACATAATTGCCAAAATCACATTTTAACTGCCAAATTTCTTCATTATGTAACTGCCAAACCATTAAGAATTGTGGCCCAGCTAAGCTGATACATAACCTTAAGGTTCACAGCCAATGCTACTCTCTTCTCACACTTCAGCATCTGTTACTGCCAAACATATTGCTAATGTTTAAAATACTTGAATAGTAGAGTCTTCATGATGCAATACATAGAAAATGCCAGCTAATAAGACAGTTGGTAGTTGAGGAGTAGATAGAAAGAAATGAATAAGTACGTTAACATATAATCTATTTAGGAGATTAAAAATAGTATAAACTACAGACTTAATTTTGCACAAAATTTTTCTTGAAAATTTAACATGAATACCTGGACTTCTGCGAACACTTTTTTGGAGGATCTCAATGAAAAAAAAATGTAAATTTAAACATTTATATTGCATATTTAGAAACAAAACTTCAAAAATGTTTCATTTTTTGGTGATTTCAACTTCAACAGTATATGTTCTTCAGCTTTTTTTTTTTTACAAACAGTATCTAATGTTTGAAAACCTTGTAAGTTATTTGCAAAACTTTTTTTTTAATAAATAAACTAGTATTTTTTTTTTGTATATGCAAAACGCTTTTGTAAAAGTTACATTTGAGGCAAGCTCTGGTGGCCTTGTGGCAAGAAGCTGTACTGCAATCCCAGAGGTGAACAGTTCAAATCCACCAGATGCTCTGCTGGAGAAGGAAGGACAATCTCCTCCTGTACCAGCCAGATCAGATTTGATGGCACACCCACCCACACACCCCCCCACACACACATTACATTTGAAAAATGGTTACAATGGATTTTTTGTGTAATGTATTAAAAGGCTTACAAAATTTCATCTCATTAGGAAACAAAATGATAATCAACTTAAACAACTTTCAGTGAAATGACAAAATCCTTTAAAAACCCCCCTTTAACTCAGTCCCATAGGGATAAATACTGTATAAAATCATTATTGTAGAATGAGCATGAGGATCCAATGAGGGTGGGGGGAGGGTGGAAGCAGAGAGGTCAGAACGGGGGGATTAATCATGGAATCGTACAATTTGATGGGGGGTCAGGGAATGGGAAGGAACTGGTGTGAAAAACAACATATTAGAATTTTGTAAATAAACTAGTATTATAATAAAAACCACAACAACAACAACAACAACAACCCCCTTAAAATAAAAATATCAACCATTTTCTGTTACTTATATTTTTTCCTTGTTTTAGGGACAATACAGAGTTGTTGCTGAAGCCATAACCGGAAGTGCTGAAGAAATGCTCTTTTGTTTGAATTTTACTCTCATACATTCATCTGAATAGAAATAGAATAAATTTCGTGTATTTTTTTATTTTGTAAAGGTTTTATTCTTCATTAAGATGCCCCCTGCCATATAGATATCTGTGGAATTCATGTTCCTGCCACTATTCTAGCCAAATTACCAGCTTCATTTTTTCGTACCTGTTCCCTCATATACGTCAGACAATGTTTCACATTCTGGGATTGTGGCATTCAAGAGAAAAAAAAAGTACTGCAATGAGTTGTCATTGAGTCAGAATTGACACATAGTTGACTCTCCAGTAGGGTTTCAAAGGTTGTAAATAGAATGAGAGGAGACTATCTTTTTTCCTGCATTGCTGTTGCCTTGGGTCAGCAGCACAACTCCTTACATGATAGCCCACTACAGCCCCTAATGTAACCTCTTTTGTGGCTAGAAGTTTTAAGATTGTTAATAAGGCTGCATCATAATAAGGTGTGAGTTTTGTTTTACTTATATTTAAGTTACCTGCTGTAAATTTAGCAGATATTTTTAATAAAATAGGGAGGTGGGAGAATAAAAAAAAATCCAGGAGAGAGTTCTGGGCTGGATGTAAAATTGGGAAGCTGCCAACGTATAAAGTGCGTCTGGAGAAAAGAAGAAGTCCGATAAGTGAAGCTAAAACTCTATCAATGAGGGGATAGGGCTTGGAGGAGCCAGTCCAGGAGACAGAGAAGTGATCCTGGAGAGAGGAGGAAAGCTGGGAGTGCTGGCGCGTCGGAAATGGGTGAGGACACTGTCAATGATGTCAATTTGCTGCTGTGTTAAATGAGATACAGACTGAGCACTGGTGCCTGGGTTTAGCACTTCAGTCATTTTGATGTTACCAAGAGTTGTTAAGTACCATCAAGTTGACTACGACTCAACAGTGATCCTATGAACAACATGTTGGGACTCTGTCCTGTCCTGTGCCTTCCTCACAATCTCTAACATGCTTGAGCCCTTTGCTACAGACACTTTGTTGATACGTCTTGTTGAGAGTTTTCCTCTTTGTCTGACACAGCTCCCCCCCAACCCCCCGCCCCTTTTCCCAGTGTGATTTCCCTTTCCAAGGACTGGCCCCTCCTGACAATATGCCCGGAATAAAGGAAATGAAGTATTACCATCCTTTAACCAGTCTTTAAGAAGCACTCTGGTTGTACTTTTCCAAGACAAACTTGTTTGTTCCTTTGGCAGTACACTGGATATTCAATACTCATCGCCAACACTGAGAGAGGGCTCTCTCAATTTTCTGGACATGAATCCTAATCCCATAATGTCCACATTTGGGAGTCATATATTAAGCTGAGTTGTTTCTGGTTGCTAGACAGTTGATTTGACTCATGGTAACCCCACATGTACACAGTAGAACTTCTCCAAAGAGTTTTCAAGGCTGTGACTTTTGCGAGCAGATTACTAGGTCTGTCTTCCAAAGTGCCTCTGGGTGGTTTCAAACTGCTAGTGTTTCAGGTAGTAGTCAAACAGTTAACTGTGCCACCCAGGGGCTTCTTGGCTGTCCTAGTCATCCTGTGGTATTTTCGCTCATCAAATTTTAAAGTGGAAATGAGAACATTTTAGAGACACAGCTCTTTATCTGTAGAAAAAAGAAAGACTGACAGTTAAATTGCTGAGGGATTTCTCATTGATGGTGATGGAAACTTTGAAGCTCAGTAGAAACTGCTCAGTGGGCTGAGTGAAATCTAACAACTGATAGTGGAAACTACAACAGTTAATAGAAATTACTCAGTGATACCATCTTTCTCCTTAAGTGGCATGAAGTCATGTGCACTATCTGCCACACTTTAGACTGGGCTTGTAACACAGGCTTCTTTTTTAAAAATTTATTATTAATTTTAATGAAAATTTACAGACTTTGGATTTCCATTCATTCATTGTTGCACCTTTTCCTCCTTATCGCCCTCCCCCCCTTTGAGTCAGCTCTGCATCCTTGATGATGACTTTGACTTTTCCTTTCTTTCAAAGGGTCCAGGTAGTGCAGTGGTTTAAGTACTTGTCTTCCAATTAAAAGGCTGATATGTCAACATCTAGAGTCACTCTTCTGAAGAAAGATGTGGCAGTTTGCTTACAGAAAGATTTGAAATTAGAAACTTTATGGAGCAAGTTCTTCTTTGCCCCATAGGGTCATTGTCAGTTGAAATTGACTTCATGGCAGTTGATTTGGTTTGGTTAATCTTTTTATATAGTTGAAGTGCTAAAGTTATTTAAGAATACTCGATATTTCTTGTTGCCTGTTTTTTTTCCAGTTGGACACTACACCCTCAGGTCTAGGGCTGTTGTTGTATACTGTCGAGTAGGAATAGACCCATAACTGGGCTGTTGTTGTATACTGTCGAGTAGGAATAGACCCATAACTGAACCTCTGTCGGTTTTCAGAGGCAGTTAGGAATAGACCCATAACTGAACCTCTGTCGGTTTTCAGAGGCAGTTAATCTCACTGGGGGAGATTGCTCATCCTTTTCCCTTGGAGCAGTTGGTGGCTTTGAACCTCATGCCTTCAGGATTGCAGTGAAGCCTCTTGCCACTGGGCCACCAGAGCTTCACCTCTAGGGCTAGAGTCTGATTTACTAGTGAGAGTAGACTCAGTTGAGAGGAATGGGCGTTATGGTCCTGGAGTAGGGATAAAACTTCCATCCACATCTTATCCAAAGGAGGTAACATCCATAAGCAGTTGATTGGCTGTCACCATATCTGGGGAAGTGGCAGAGAATGTCTACATACTGAGTTCTGTGATTGGCAGATAGTGTACATGTCCATGTCAATGACTGGAAACAGCAGAGAAAGGCTGTGTGTCAAGCCCTGTGATTAGCTAAAAAGGCGGTGGCAAAATTCAAAGGGACCAATCATATAGAAACAGAGTTAAATTGCACAGACTTCCTTAACCTCATATAATCCCCAAGCAATAGCAGCCAAGCAGCTTCCTTCTTTAAGAGCCCCTCTTACATGTGGGAGTTTCACTTTACACTTTCTTCAGTAAATTTTGCTTGAGCATGTTCTTACCCCAGCTTGTACGGTTTCTGAGTTCATTCTTTGATCTTTTGACTATAACCTTTTAGTTGTGTTGTTGTTGTTGTTGTTATGTTCCATCGAGTTGCTTGTGACTCATAGTGACCCTATGTACAGCATCCCTAAACCTTGCTCTGTCCAGTTTCAATCACAGTGTCTCCGACACACCCACCCCGATTACCCCAGTCACTGAATCAATCCACCTCATAGAGGGCTCTTCCTCTCCTGTGCTGTCCCTCTACACTCCCAAGCATGATGTCCCTCTCCAAGGACTGGTCCTTCCTTGCAACATGTCCAAAGTATGTCAGACAAAGCTTCAGAATCCTTGCCTCCAAGGAGCAGCCTGGTTTAACCCTCTCCAGGACGAACCTGTTTGTTTTCTTAGCAGTCCAAGGTATATTCAATACTCTTCTCTAACACTACAGTTCAAAGGCATCAATTCTCCTTCTCATTCCTAGTCATTATTCAGCTCTCTGATGCATAACAAGTGATTGCAAAGACCATGGCCTGTATCAGACACTCCTTAGTCTCCAGAGTGACACCATTGCTCTTCAGTACTTTGGAAAGGAGTTCCCTAACAGCAGACTTTCCCATCGCAATACGTCTTTTAATTTCCTGGCTGCTGGTGCCAAGAATGTTGACTGTGGATCCAAGCAAACTAAAGCTGTGAACAACCTCAATCTCTTTACTATCCATCCTGATGCTGCCAATTGGTCCAGTGGTGAGAATCTTTGTCTTATTGATACTGAGCCTCAGTCCATATTGAAGGCTGCAGTCCTTGACCTTCTGCAGAAAGCACTTCAGGTCCTCCTCAGTTTCAGCAAACAGGGTTGTGTCATCTGCATAAGACAGATTATTGATAGATCTTCCACCAATCCTGATGCCACACTTCTCCTCATAGAGCCTAGCCTCCCGGATAATTTGTTCTGCATACAGGTTGAAAAGGTATGGAGATAGGACACATCCCTGGCATACACTCTTCCCAATTTTGAACCATGTAGTGTTTCCTTGCTCTGTTCTGATGACTGCCTCTTGGTCCAAGTATAGGTTTAGCATTAGCATGATCAAGTGTTCTGGGATTTCCATTCTTCTCAGAGTCAGCCACAGTTTGTTGTGATCCACACAGTCAAATGCCTTTGCATAGTCAATGAAACACAGATATACACTCTTGTGGTATTCCCTGCTTTCAGTTAAGATCCATCTAACATTAGCTACAATATCTCTAGTAACACGACCCCTTCTAAATCCAGCCTGGACTTCTGGCAGTTCTCTGCTGATGTGCTGTTCCAGTCATTTTTGGATAATATTCAGCAGAATCTGACTTGCATGTGAAATCAATGATATTGTTCTATAGTTTCCACACTCTGTTGGGTTACCTTTCTTTGGAATGGGAACAACTATCGATCTCTTCCAGTCAGTTGGCCAAGCAGTTTTTCTCCAGATTTCTTGGCATAACTTGGTGAGCACATTCAGGACAGCATCTGTTAGTTGAAATACGTCAATTGGTATACCATCTATTCCTTTTAGTTGTAGTAACGCTAAATTAGTCAGTTTGAGGTATTCCATGCAGGATAGTGACAGGTGTAGGGCAAGCACATTACTGGTGTTAGCCCAATCAGACTTCAGGGAAGAATTGGAATCCCCAACCTATCTTGCTAGATATAAACAAAAAGGTGTGTTGCTCCGTTTCCTGCTGACAATCATCTTGTGCCAGTTAGGAAAAAGAATCTTAGAATGTAGCTAATGTAATGGTTAGAAGAATGAAGAGTCAGAAGACATCGATAATGCTGAGACATAGGTAAGTTATTGTCAGCCAAGCTGGAACCTACCATACTTTTGCATTTCCTACAATGCTTTGGTGAGCTGGTGTCTGGACTCTATTACTTGCAGCTGAGAGCACTCTAAAAGCTACACTATTCTCCCCACTCCAGAAGTCTAATTTCAGAGTCTGGATTTTATCCATTGTTTTTAATTTTTCTAATGTGTTAGCAACAGGCAGCC